ACAAAGGGACGTCAGTCCCAACTGTCTTTAGTGCTTGGGTGCTTGGCTGGGGCCTCATGAGGACCCCATGCTCACTCTTCTGTTATTACGCCAGGAGTATTTTTCAGCTGCCTTCCATTTATGCACCTGCCTCATACCGTTTGTGGGAATTCCCCAGGGGCAGTTGGTTTCTACTCCTCTTCCTGTAAATCGTGCCATGTTTTTGATCCTGTTTCTTTATTAGCAGCCTCCTCCACTAGAATACAGGCTTCGTGGCATGTGTTCAGCTGTTCTTTGCATGAGGGGCTCTTGTGGACTGCACAAGCAACGTCGTAGTCACTAGGCAGAAATACTTTCTATGAAATGGTATTGATGAGTATTGGGTATATCAGGTAGATTTTGACCTGGTGGGAAAATACATTTGGGCTGAAAGTCAAAAGTGCTCACAGTACCACTAATTTTTTTTTTTTTTTTTTTGAGATGAAGTCTCACTCTGTCCCCTAGGCTGGAGTGCAGCGGCACCATCTCGGCTCACTGCAAGCTCCGCCTCCCAGTTCAAGGGATTATTGTGCCTCAGCCTCTTGAATAGCTGGGATTATAGGCGCCTGCCACCACGCCTGGCTAATTTTTTGTACTTTTAGTAGAGACGGGGTTTCACCATGTTGGCCCAGGCTGATCTCGAGCTCCTGGCCTCAAGTGATCTGCCCATCTCAGCCTCCCAAGTTAGCTGGGACTATAGGCACATGCCAGCAGGCCCGGCTAATTTTTGTATGTTTTGTAGAGCCACTCTACCACTAATTAATATGTGTTTGTGAGTTTTTTGGTCCTTCGCATTTGGCATCTGAAAAATGGAGAATAATATTACTTGTCTTATTTTAAACAGACTTTTGAGGATCCACTTACATGATAGATATGAAAGCACCTTAAAGTTTAAAAGTACATATACAAAGTGAGTGGCATTATGTGCAACTGTCACCCCCTAGTCATTCTTGACCACTTTCCCCTGTTCTATAGTTGTCAGAACACTTACTGCCACCTCAAATGGTCATATTTCTTTATTAATTATCATCCTTCTCCACTAGAATGTAAGCTTCATGGGGCAAGCATCTTGTCTTTCTTGTTCACCATTGTAACTTCATACCTTGAAGAGTATCTAGCATAAAGTACATGCATAGTAATGTATATCAAAAGAATGAATGAAATTTAGTGTTTCATCAAGTCTCAGACACTGATGCATTTCTTAAAAACAAATCCGTTTGGTTTTGGAAATTTCTACTTTTGATATAGTAAAAAAACACAAACTTTTTTTCCTAGGAACCTTGACACCACTTTTTAAAGTAGCCAGACATTCTTAATTTGCCAACGATCAGATTTCAGCTTGTTAAAATAAGGAGACAAGCTGGGTTTTTCATTTTCTGTCTTGGTAGACGTACATACCCCCTTGTCCTCTGAAATGTGTTTACTTTTGTGACAAAAGGGACAGACCTTCTTTGGAAACATTTGCTCTGAGGCTCAGCTACGACTGGATGTCAGTTTAACAAACCTTTTATTAGGACAGACATTGGTTTTTGCCTTCTACAGTATTTGTGTTCATTTGTTTTGTTTTTGTTTTTGAGATGAGGTCTCGTGCTGTCACCCAGGGATCTCCTGCTGCCACTGCATGATCCAGTGTAGTTGTGTGATCATGGTTCACTACAGCCTCGACCTTCCTGGACTCAGGTGATCCTCCCACCTCAGCCTCCCAAGTAACTGGGACTACAGGCACATGCCACCATGTCCAGCTAATTTGTGTATGTTTTGTAGAGCCAGGGTTTTGCCATGTCGTGTGTTCATTTGCTTAAGTCCTTCATACAATAGTCATGCATTGAGCACCACTCCATGTTGGAAGTCAGGCATTCAGACAGACATGAAGATAGACAATCCCTGGCTTCACAGTGCTTAGAACAGGCAGATTTGTCAACTGATGAGCTTGGATTTAATGATAGGATTTAAGCCATAATGAAGCTTACAGGAGTGTTAACTGATAGAAGAGGACTACATGGGAGGAAGGGCTTCCTGACACTGAGTTGTGAGGACATGGCCCCTCACTCTGGCAGAGGGATTTATTTGAGGGATGCTTGAGCTCTGTGTTGTGCAGTTATAGTACCTTTCTGCTTTCCTATGTACAATACTGAAGGAAAGGGGGTATGATTTCCAGTTCTGAGCTAATTCAGGGTTGTCTGTGAATATCTCGAATGGGCTACCCTGGATCTAACCTTGAAATGTGACACTCGAGAAACACCTATGACAGAAGGACCCTCACCAACCATATTCATCAGCAACAGCCGGGGGCCCTTGAAGTTTTCTCAGCCTTTAGTGTATATTTGCAGAGTTGGATGGGCAGAAGGTCTTCCGTCTATAACTTGCCTCATGAATCTTACCTCAGTTCATCTGCTTGAAGCTGTATTTTTGAACTTCATTGTAATGTACAGGGTGTAAAGAAATATTTCGTGTAAGTCGTATGTCCAGTGGCATCCTCAGTTGAATACATGCTCTGGCAGCGGTAACAATACAATGGCCATTCTTCTGTCACCAGACCTCACAAAACAAAACAACAATGAAACCCAGAGAATTTGCTTTTATTTAGTCTGCAGATTGCTTTTGTAAAAACATAATTTTATACATATAGAAGCTTGTGTGCATTGTCTTAATTTAATTTGACAAATCATTGCTATAATAATGTCCACTAAATCATTCCTATTTTTCTCTTCTAAATCACTATAGTCATAATTCATATACATAGAAGTACTTTATTCTTTGCATGCTTGTTTCTTTGGCAGGTCACCATTATTGCAGACGATAACTGCAGATTTTTATGCTGGTCAAGAGAAAGATTAACATACTTTCTGGAATCAGAACCTTTCTTGTATGAAATCTTTAGGTATCTTATTGGAAAAGACATTACAAATAAGCTCTACTCATTGAATGATCCCACCTTAAATGATAAAGTAAGTGTTTTCTGAGTTTATTTTGTTAAATAAATATGTATATGAGGTATATTTCACTTTATGAAATATGTTTTCCTGAATTTTTAGTAACTAGTCATATGTTAAATGCACTGGGGATACTTGTAATCTTGAGAGGAGAAAGTATTTTGTAATGATTAGATTTGCTGTTACTTAGTAAGGAGTCTATAACTGTCAGGGACTAGTGTTTATGGTGATAAGGCACCCTCTTCATCAAGAGCATGTTAAGGAAGATGGTAAAGGAGTAAGAGGGGGTAGAGGATGGAGTAGGTTAGGGAGGACAGGGCAGCTGGAGGTTTGCAGACAGAGAAAGGCTGACAGACCCCAGCGATCAGGAAGTTGGCCTTTGAACCCTGCTGTCTTCCAGTCTTGCATATCTTCAGGTCAGGCCAGAAGGTTAAAAGAGAGGTGTAGAGCTGCACAGATCGTCAACAGTTTGCAATTTGATCTTAATTTTCCCGTATCTTTTTGGAAAGAAAATGATTGGAAGAGAGAATTTTTAGAAACGTCATTTCTCTGATAAGTACTGTTACCCAGTGACAATTGAGTATATGTGCCCTTTCAAAATCATCTTGTCTGGGCTGTTTATCAAATTAAGCTGGTGCTTATTTCAGTTAATGATTTAGCTTATGATAAATAGGCTACTAAGTATATTTGATTTTTTATAATATATTTATAGTAATAACTAATAATAAAAATAATAGCTTATGTTTATTGGTCACCTAATATGTACTGGTATTCTTTTTTTATGCCCTGGCATATTTCTCGGAAAAGTACATGCTGCTTAAATGGAATATATGATTCAACTCCCATAAATCTCAGAAAGCTTAAAACTTTGCTTTGTAGAAAGCCAAAAAGCTGGAACATCAGCTCAGCCTCTGCACACAGATCTCAATGTTGGAAATGAGGAACAGTATAGCCAGCTCCAGTGACAGTGACGACGGCTTGCACCAGTTTCTTCGGGGTACCTCCAGCATGTCCTCTCTTCGTAAGTTATCCCAAAACTGATACTACTCCAGAGTTCTGATGGATATCTCTGGACATAGACAAATGACAACTTTGATTAGAAAAATAACTTTGCAGGTAACTATTTGGCAACCTAAAGGTAACAATAAAAACTATCAAATTTTGTTTAGCATTTCCCCCATATTGCGTATGAGCTAAAAGCCAGCTTTAGAACTCTCATTTCTGTTTCAGAAATTGTTCACTGGTTTTGCCATATACTTTGCTTAAATAGTGGCTCACCAGCTGGGCACGGTGGCTTATGCCTGTAATCCCAGCACTTTGGGAGGCTGAGGTGGGCAAATCACAAGGTCAGGAAATCGAGACCATCCTTACTAATACGGTGAAACCCCATCTCTTCTAAAAATACAAAAAAAAAAAAATAGCTGGGCATGGTGGTGGGCACCTGTAGTCCCAGCTACTAGGGAGGCTGAGGCAGGAGAATGGCGTGAACCCGTGAGGTGGAGCCTGCAGTGAGCCGAGATCGCGCCACTGCACGCCAGCCTGGGCAACAGAGCGAGATTCTGTCTTAAAAAAAAAAAAATAGTGGCTCACCAGAATACTCTGAAAGAGTTCACATGGTTTGGTTTTGTTGCTTTCGTTTTGTTTGGTTTTGTTGCTATTTGGTTTTGTTACTTTCATGACTTTAGTTAGAGTGAAGGTCTAGACCCAGAAATGTTTTGAAAAATGGTAGACAAATAAATGCTGGATGTTCTGCTGCTGGCTGGTTATCTCAGTATGAGTGCCATGAGTTAAAAAGTGATTGGGAACTGGAATATTCCCAAAGATGAAGGAGATCACTAAACACCCTTGTGAGTTACCTCATTCACACACCTGCCCAGAGGCACATTTTCCAGGATTCTTCCATAGTTTAGATTGTTTCAAAACATTTTAAGTAGCACAAACAACCCAGATGTTGAAAATTAGTAAGTAAAATGAGAAAAACTAAATTAAGCATTAAATGCTTAATATTAAGAATTAGTCTAGGAATGATAGTATAAAAACTTTGAACAAATTCATATGAAATAGCAAAAAGGCAGACATTCTTCCTTTGCATGAAAAAAAACTATTTGTATTTCCAATTGTATTTTAAACCAAATTAACTTTTAAAAAATGCAAACACATTAAATAATTCTTTATGTAAATGGATCTTGTAACTTTGTATGCCTTAGATAAGTTAGATTGGGGATTTTAAGTATTACATAGTCAGGAGAGGCTGGAATTTACAAGGCCATATAATTGGTGTGTAGGAAAGAAAAAACTTTACCTCTTCCCTTTTAGGGTTGTTTTTGGGCTGGACCTGAGAATTAAATTGACATAAGACAGATTAACAAGAGAAAAGGATACACATTTGATACAAGTTGTGTGAGTTTGTGTTAAAAGCTCTTACATGGCACAAAAGCTTTCATAAGGAAATGAAGACCTGAAAAAGCAATTAAACAGTTTATAGTGAATTGGACAAAGAATAGTAAGTTGTGAAAAAGCAACTAAATTATGCTGGAAGACTTGAAGACAAAAGAGTTATTTTAATAAAGGCTTGTACAGAATTCTGTCTGCCTCAACATCTTGATGATAAGAATGTCGTTTTCCTTCTAATATTTTTGGAGGTCACCTTTCATACAAGAATTTCATCTCCTGTTTTTTTTTTTTTTTTTTTTGGTGGGGTTGGGAGATTGTTTTGTTTGTTTGTTTGTTTTTGTGTTTGTTTTTGTTTTTGAGGCAGGGTCGCTTTTTGTCACCCAGGCTGGAGTGCAGTGGCACAATTACAGGTCACTGCAGCCTTGAACTCCTGGGCTCAAGGGAACTTTGTCTCTATAAAAATAAAAAAAAATTGCTGGGCGTCGTGGTGCAGGCCTGTAGTCCTAACTACTCAACAGGCTGAGGCAGGAGGATCCCACCTGCCTCAGCCTCCCAAAGTGCTGGGATTTCAGGCGTGAGCCACTGCACCTGGCCTGCATAGTAACTTTTGGAAGGTATTAACTAAAGCTTACATGAAGGTCGGGAGCTGCACTTCCCTGCTCTTGGGACTCAGCCAAAGGACCAGCTGCCATCTGGGTCATTGCCATTGTAACTGCAGAGGGAAGACAGTGGTGGCAGATTTACAAGATGGCTGTTAAAGCTCCTGCCCCAAAGGAGCAAGTAGCTCTTCCGTGCATGTTCCTTGGGCCACAGAAGTCACTTGCCAGAACCAACATCAATGGATAGATCATTTAACCCTCCTGCAGGGCTGTGAAGGGGCTAATGAGAAACAAAGCAGGTGGAAAGCTGGACTATAACACAGTCTACTATAGCAGGTGTTATGTCATTTTACAGATGAGGAAATTGGGAATATGAGATGTTATTCACTTGCGCCTCTTCCATAGTGACTGGTTCTGCAATACAAACCTAGGGATCCCGTCTGATTCCAAAGCTCGTGTTTGGCCAGGCACAGTGCCTCACACCTGTAGTCTCAGCACTTTGGGAGGTTGAGGCTGGAGGATCGCTTGAGCCCAAGAGTTCAAGACTAGCCTGGGCAACATAATAAGACCCCTTCTCTACAAAAAAATTAAAGAATTATCCAGGCATGGTGATACACGTCTGTGATTTCATCTTCTTGGGAGGCTGAGGTGAGAGGATTGCTTGAGCCAGGGAAGTCAAGGTTGCAGTGAGCCATAATTGAGCCACTGCACCGAAGCCTGGGTGACAGAGTGAGACCCTGTATCAAAAAGAAAAAAGAAAAAGAAAAACAGAAGCTCATGCTTGTAGACCAGATTACCTCTGTGGTTTTTTTAAATGCACGTAACAGTTGACTTGTGTTTTTAGATGTACAGGTCACCATCACATCTGTTCTTGCATTTGAACCTGACAGCTATGTGAGCTAGGCACAGGAGCTGTTATTATTTGCCTCCTTGCAGATGAGTCCACCTAGAGTTGGTGAAGGTAGTGACTTATCCCAAACCACTTTTTGTCAACTCCCACCTACTTTTCTGGGGTAACCTGTCATCCCCTGAATCCTTCCTTGTGATCAAGTAGTGCTGCAGATAGGTTTCGTAGGGTTAATGTAATCCACTTCAGTGAACATTTTTGCCTTATTCTTAGCACTGGAGTACCAGGATCCTACTTAGGAACATGTGAAATTATCCAATGATAATCTCCAGTGTCATTTAGCTTTTAGTTAGAGTACTTACAGAATTACAAGCAGTGTCACTCCATACAAAATTAAATATACCTTATGTATTTCCTTAAACCTTTTTACATTGTTCCACCTATTCATTAACCCAAACCTAGGTCGATTTAAACATTAACATGCATATGAATATTTATAATTATTTTTCGAATCATGATCTGAATAGCATGGGCACACTGCATTCAGCCGCTACACCTCGGGGCTCCCTTTCCAGTCTCTCTCTGTCTCTGTGTGTGTGTTTCTGCATATGTTTTTATTTGGGTATTTTGATTTGTCCTGTAGAACAACAGATTCTTAAATGTGCATATGAATCACCTGGAGATCTTATTAAAGATCCTGATGTAGCAGGCTGGGGTGGGGGTTTGGGAGTCCACAGGTTTAACCAGTGCCCAGGTGATACCAGTGTGGCTGTTCTATGAACTATGCTTTGAGTAGGGAGGCTGTAGAATTTTCCACCTTCTGGAATTTTGCTGAGTTCATCCCTATGGTGGTGATTATGGTGTTCTTGTCTTTCTCATCTGCCTGGTAGTTGGGTCTAGAAGCTTGCATAACTTCTGGTAAAGGCTACTTTAAAGATCTCAATCAGTAATGCGACAAATATACTTCATAACTTTACACAGCAAATGTTCAGTGAAACAGAAATATGGATCAGAAAAAGGTGGAGGAAAACTAAGTGACCTGTTTTAATGAAATTGCTGCTGCTCCCATTTCTCATGTTGTACTCTGCTTTTATACATGCCACACAACGCTAAATCCGCAGCAAGGTCTCTACTCCTTTCCACACAGATTCTGTATTCCCACTCCACATTGTCATTTAAAGGAAAGAAAGTGAAGTCATGAGATAGCCTGAGAAAAAGTCATTTTTCTCTCTGTTTTTTCAGTAGTTCAGAATTCATTTAACTCTTTCACTTTCTCATTGCTTCGTTTACTGGGTTTCATGTTTGCAAACATGGGACATAGTGAGATAGGAAGATAGGAAGAGAGGAAGAGACAAGCTGTAGAGATGTGTGAGAATCTTTAGTGCCAGTGTATGAAGGAAAGCTTTCTTCTCTTGGCTCCTGGACCAAGGTGTTGCTCGTCAGCGTACCTTGTTGTCATCTTCTTGTCATTTTCTCTCCTCCTTAGCTCCCTTCATGTATAAAACACACACATTCACACAGATGGATTGTATTGGCAATTCCATCAGTAGTAAGTGCTGGCCAGCTCAGGCATTGCTATGGTAACAGGAAGACATATGTTTCCTTGAATGTTACAGAACTGTATTTTAGTTAATTGGGGTTAAATAACTTATCATTTGGATTTTTTTTTTTAATCACAAGACAATATAGGCAATGCAATCAGTTGGAACTCATCTTTGAAAAAGCTTGTTAGTTTAAACCATGTCTTTTTTCATGAAATAAAAATTATGTTGTTTTTAAAGATGCTGTGAGATGTTTAGAGAGATGTTTCTTATTAAGATCTTTGTAAGTGTTTTGTTTGTTATTAGTGTCAAGACAGTACTACATTGGCCAGGCACACTGGCTTACGCCTATAATCCCAGCACTTTGGGAGGCCAAGGCAGGAGGATCTCTTGACCCCAGGAGTTCAAGACGAGCATGGGCAACATAGCGAGACCCCCCCTCTACAAAAAATGTTTTAATTATCTGGAGGTGGTGGCATGCGCCTGTGGTCCCAGCTACTTAGGAGACTGAGCTAAGAGGACCACTTTAGCCTGGGAGATCTAGGCTGCAGTGACCCATGGTCTTGCCACTGCACTCCAGCCTGGGTGCAAGAGTGAGACCCTGTCTCAAAGGAAAAAAAAAAAGATGCTGCTGTGGACA